TTATTTATTTTAATTATTTTCGTTTAAATACCTGAAATTATTTGAAAATACCCCCAACATTATTTTGCTCCCACGACAAACCCCAACAACCCCGTTCTCTCCCTCCGTATTTTTTCAAAAATGACTGCTCCACGCGCACCTCATTCAGTATTTTAATATTATCTTTTTATTTTTTATTAATTTTTTTCCTTTTATAAACCCCCTCACCCAACCCCCTCTCTCTTCGTACACAACTCTCTCTCTCTCTATATACCCCCAACATTATTTTAACATTATTTTGCTCTACGAAAGAAGTAGAGAATTGAGAATCTATGATCACTGAATGTTTGTCATAAGTCTCAATTCCTTAAGCCTACTGATAATTTTATTTTTATTAATTTTATTCCTTCATTATCTATTTTACATGAATAAATATACCACTAACAATTATTTTTATCTTTAATTGCAGGTTAATAAAGAAATAATGAATAAAATCCCGAAAGACTACAACTTCCTAATTTAGTAACCTTTTATTGAAACCTAGAATTAAGCCGAGTAGCCTGTAGAAGTCGGATTAAATAAAAAATCCAATATGAAAAAAACTTATATTCAAGATGGTTGTCCGCAAAGAAATGATGATATCTTCTAATATAGAAGACGGAATTTAACATATAATATATAAAACTCACCTATCTTGATGAGACGAAGCAATCTGTGAAGTCAGAATTTTGATAGGAGTATCGATGTCGGCACCGGCATCGATGCTGACATTGATGCCTTGTTCCTATTCCGAATTTAAGGGTTGATTTGAGTGTCTTAGGGCTCAAGTTTCATCCAATGGCTCTCATTCATTGTTGTAGGCTATAAATAGGGGTAGAGAGTGAGGGATTGAGGGTGTGAAAAATTTTGTAACTCTATTTGGAGAGGAGGATTACTCTTAATTGAGAGGTCCCTCCAAAATTATAACTTTTTGTTGTACTTAAAAAAAGAATTGATTCACCACTTCATATTTTTCTTTTCTTCTCTTTATTTGATGATGAAGATGAAGATAAAGATGGGGGTTTACTTTCGCCTTGAGGCTAGAATCCTCTCGGGATGTAAATTTCCTCTTTATTAATATTTTTATCTTTTTGCTTATTTTCTTGTTAAATAATCAAGAGGCTAGAACCCACTTGCCTCAGATTTATTTTCATGCTTATAGAGTAGATTTACTTTCATTTTCTCACATTTAATTCTTGCAATTTATTTGTAGTTTAGTTCTTATAATTTATTTTGTACTTTAGATTTTTATTTTCATGCATTATTCGCCTTGAGGCTAGAACCCTCTTGGGGTTAGTTTTTATTTTGTTTAATTTTTATTTTCTTTGATTTTCCTTGAGGCTAGAACCCTCTAGGGAATTGCCTTTTCTTTTGATGTGGAAATAATACTCGTAGGCTTCTACAAATTGCATGAAACTAGCTTTATTTCTTTTATAATTTGTTAATCATTCTCTTATGCTTAATAATTTCAGTAATTTAAGAAAGTTTTATAAAAGAAATTATTTAGAACATTTATAAATATTTTTTTAGGATTTATTTTTATAAAAGGAATTATTTAGAACATTTATAAATATCTTTTAAAAGAGTTATTTTAGAAAAGGGATTATTATGAATTTTTCATAATTTATGTTTCTTAATTTTAATTATGTGATATGTTATGATCTTGCTGTATATGATTAGTTGTGTTTATTACTCTTTGTTATGCTTGAGAACCGTTAGAAAACCATGACTAGTGTGGCCTAGTGTGTCCGGTTTAAGACTTAGAAACCTGTGCATATGTTAGCTTAGAAAAACAAGAGAGTTGGGATGGGGAAGTTAGTGTTCATGTGATCGGATAAGACTGTTGATGTATCTTCCAGGCTCGCACCAGTGAATTCGTGTAGTCACTGGGGTTGGTTTGTTGGGCTAAAGTGAATTCGTGTAGTCACTTTAGTCAGTGAATTTGTGTAGTCACCCGAGTTCTGCTTGAGTTCGGACCAGGCCGAAATCGGATTGCGTGTAGTCCTCTGACCGATTCGTGTAGCGGTATTGGATGCGCGTAGGGGATTTGTGAACAGCCAGTTATCCGATGACAGGAGCGTTGACTCTGTGTGAGATGTGACCAGTGACCTGTTATACAATGGCTAGTAGTATGACCTCGTTACTTGGATGATTAGTTTGATTGCTAGCTGCAGGACCTCGTTACCCGATCGATTTTTGATTCTTCTGATTATTATATTCTGGTGGTGGATTTCATTTAGATTATTACTATTATTATTATTATTGTTCTTGCATTGGTTGTTCGACCGTTTCTACTTTCCTTGTGGGATCTTGCCGTACGTTATGTGCGCTGACGTACACCTGTTTTCTCTGGTGTACGTCAGATTTAGAGGACGGACAGGTTCAGTTCGGAGTCGTACAGGAGCCAGAGGATCCCCCGCAGGAGTACTCTGTAGACCGAGCAGAAGAAGCCGAAGCCTAGTCATTTCTTTTATCAGCTGTTAGTCCTTAGTTTACTTTTCTAGCATTCCTATTTCCGCCTGATCGTTGTATTTTATATTCTCCAGTATTTCATTCAGATAGCTAGTCTTGTATAAGGGCATGTTGACCCGAACATTATGCCTGGGATGATATTATATTTGTGATATGGATCTCTTTGTTCTGAGTTGTTTATTATATTCTCGCTACTGTGATCGGGGACCTGTGCCTTCGTTTGTATTTCTTGACGCTTAGCGTATTAGATTGAGAAGACGGGGTCTAGCACTTATCTCTTCTCAGTTTAATACGTCGCGGGCTTGCTCGCGTCCCGATTCCCCGGTATTTTGGGAAGCGGGGCGTGACATGCTCGACGAGGTTCGTCCGCACGGAGGCATCGGGGCTAGGTGGCACGCTTTGGCGCCACATTGGCTGCCACGAAGGTTGCCTCACGGGCTGTTTCACAACATGCGGACGAGCTACGTATTCGCCCGAGGGTGTGACCCTAGCGTTCTCGAGATCAGACGAGGTTCGTCAATTGGTTGACGAGGTTCACATGTTCGACGAGGTTCGACTGTTTGACGAGGTTAGTCAATTGGTTGACGATGTTCACCTGTTCGACGAGGTTCGCCCGTTTGACGAGGTTCGCTCGTTCGACGAGGTTCGTCCTATTGACGTTCGCCCGTTCGACGAGGTTCGTCATATTGATGATGTTCGTCTGATTTGCTGAGACGCGACCCTCGCGTTACAAAGTAACGCGTCCATTGATTGCCTCGCCTTCAGGCGTTACTGCATCCAACAGTTACAACAACATTTAAATCAATTGATGTTACAATTATAATTGTCATTATGATTTGTAACAGTCACATTGATTATAAGTGACTCTTGAGCTGGCCTTAGAGGCCTATAAATAGCGCCCCTTGGGGCATCTCTTTGAGACTTAAACGTGAGAGCGCTTGTGCATACGAAATACATTGAGTTGTTGTGCTGCTGCTGCAGAAACTGTGCCCGAAGAAACTTTCCCTAAAACCAAAAGGTTTTGAACCGAAAGGTTCTGAGATCGAGGAGATTTTTGTCTTGACCGAAGGTCTTATAGATCGAGGAGATCTTGACAGTACTGGGTTGGTGCACAACAGAGTACTGTACTGTTGTTCCTGGAAGCAGTTTGGTTTTGGGATCCTTGCATCGGAGTAGGCCAAATATTGTTTTAAGCATAATGTTTCACAAACGCACAATAATCAACTTAAAAAGTTTAAAATTATAACACTTTAACTTTCACTGTTTCATTCCAGATTTAACCACAATCTCCAACAGTTCAACACATAAAAAATTCATCAAATATGGACTTTTAACTAAGTAATACTAGGAAAAAAGACAGAGGCATCATGTGTCACGCTCAAAAGCATTAATCAGCTGTTGGTTTTTTTGTCTAATTCCTGTGGACTCCCACGCAAAACCATGGGCTTGGTCTCCATTATTTATACCCACAGCCCATGCCAGCTCATGCGATCAATCAAAGCGCTAACTTTAATTACCTCCCTAAATCTAAGCTTCTTCAAGGTTAAGCTTTTTGTCCCGCGTACATACATCATTGATTGATCGGTCATGTGCAACGGGGGTGACTGCAGGTGGGAGGCTCACTTCAGGTTGGCTCACGGGAAGGTTGTCGGAAAACCGCCTCCGGTCAAGAACATCGAAGAGCGGCGGT